CAACGACCTGAGTATTGCCAGGCAGAAGTGCTAACCATGAAAATAGTACGATCTGGTGTTGTACGAGGAACATTTTTGTGCTTGTCCCTTCGATTTTGGACAAAAGCTGTGTACAAACAATCAGATTATTGTACGATCTCTTTGAAAGCGGTATTTTGCATACAATTTACTGATCATGTGTACTAGGCTTAATGCAAATTGTCGGCCGATAAACGAAAAATCGGTCGGCCCCGTTGCCGATGCTACCACCAATGTCCACGAAAAACGTCCATTTTTCGTCGATTTTCCAGCATGACCGATAAAAATAAAACGAGAAGATCCACGAAAAATGGCTGACAGGCTGGCCCCACTAACAGTGTGAATATTGGCCGATTTTTCATGCTGACGAAAATTCGGCCGATAAGCGACCCGTCTTTGGCCTGCATTAGTGTAAGTTTAGGTAAAATAAAAAAAAAAAAACCCATCAACACACAGGATGGTACTTACATCTTCTGTCTGCAAATTCATCCATTGCAGGAGTAGGGGGAGGGGGTGTTGAGGAGGAACATGGCAGAGGACTTTGATTTCAACTAGGACAGCCAGTACTAGCACAGGGAACACTTCTTAAATGGAAGTACTCTCCCTTGTGCTGTGTTTTTTCATTCATTTATTTATTTATTTATTTTATCTTTTCAACGGTACATGCAGGAGGTAGCTTCTCAATAGGCAAATGCAAGTCAAGCTATACTGTAAACTCCATCTTGTATACAAGCAAAGAAGGCTCTTGCCTTGGCAATTACCATACATGGCAAACAGATATACCCCATAATTAACCATAGGCTAAACAACAGAGCATTTTAATTTTAAGGCCTTTATACCTAACCAAGAGCACCCCTGGATGTACAAACAGGGAAACTAAAAAGCTCAAAATTAGACAAGAGTTTAAAGGAGTATATAGGGTGGAGACCCCAACAAACTGTGAGTAATCCTAGTGGCCACAAAAATGTGCGACCTGCTCAGATCATCCACATGGGCCACGCACCTTCCTTAAAGTGTTGCTAAACCCCGGACCCTGCATTCACTATATCTGGTCTCCCACAGTACACACAACATGGAAATGCAATTATTTTAGTAAATAACTGCTAAATACCTTTTCTCATCAGCAGTTAGAGCAGTCTTGTGACTTCTATTGGTGTCCAGCAGAGCACTGGCTAAAGCTTGTAGGAGGAGTTTTTTATTTCTGCTCTAGGAGGATGCAGAACTCCTGACCTCTGTCTGAACAGTGCTGATTGGTCCTGTGCCGATCACGTGCACTCTCCCAAGGGAAAAAAAAACTCTTGCAATACCCACCTATCACGTACCTGGTGTTAGAGGCCAGTGGAGAGAGGGCTTCTCTTGCAGCTAGGTTCCAGACTCCCCTGAGAGTGGGACAGCAGGAGTCAGGCCCAAAGTGGCACAGGTCGCCTGTAGGAGTGCTCATTGGTGGTCCACCCAGGAGCACAGCTGATGCACTGAGATGGGATCTGCAGACAGGTGGTGCCTGTGCAAGGTATGCAAGCCTTCCGGGAAACAGAGGATCACAGGACAGCCTGTTCAAAGCCGAGGTCAGGTACCAGGTGGAGATCAGAGCAGACGTAGTCAGATGGGATAGCCGAGGTCATACACAGAGGAGCAAGAGAGAATATCCATTAGCCAAGCTGAGGTCAGATCAGGGGTTAAGCAGAGAAGACAGGTCCAAGAGCAAGCCGAGTCGGTACCAGGAAATCACAGATCAGAATAGAACAGGAACAAGGTACTGGGAAGCCAGAGATCAACCAGCACCTGAGAGTAGGGCAGGGCTTCCTTATGAAGGCTGTTTGGCGCCAAATTTGAGCCGATGTGAACTTCTGTAGCCATGTAAGGTACTGGCAGGGGTGCCAGGTCTCCTAACACCTCTGCCGAGGACAGAGCCCTGACACCACCAAACTGAGCATATGCAGAGTGTCTCCACATGATATGTCTTCTCAGGAGATAAGAGAGGGACTCTGGACGAAAAGGAGGATCAGAGAAGTCAGGATCAAACAGCATTTTTACATAATGCAGAGGATTAACCCCTTAGGTTCCACAGTGAGTATAACAAGCATGCTTTACTGCATTGACAGATTTTACTATTGGGTTTAGTAACGCTTTAACGGAAATTATGCCTGAGAGCCCATGATATCTCTATATTCAGGTGAGCATGTGAAGTCCATCTGGAACAACCAAGTTTTATTACATCATTCCTCCCAGTGACTGGTGGAGGCCATCAAAGTCTCCATCTGATGAATCTTGTTTATGCTGGCGAACCACAGCCAAACTAATGGCACAGTGGTCTGCTTCCAGCAAAGTGGTATGCAGGCCTTGGCTGCATTCAATAAATGCAGCAAAAGTGAACGTGTATAGCATTTTAGCGACGTTGGTGTTGAATATAGAGGAAGGCCACCACCTTCTGCAGGAGCTTGTAAGCAGATCGCTGGTGCCATGCAGGTCTCTTGCAGATCTGTCAGAATATCTGCTTGCTGTACGAGATGTGCGAACAAGCAGATATACTGACAGGAAAGAATCAATGAACTACCACGGTGCTGCTCTACCTGCCTCTATAAACATTCAGCATGTCACCTGCAAGGACCTCTGACTTGAATCTTACTGGCCATGTCTATCATTTGTTGACAAAATTGAAGTTGCCCTAAAGCCAAACTCCTCCTTGCCACAACTCTTTATTTCTATATTCCTTGCATTTAGGCTGGCCATACAGTAGCAGAATTTTTCATACAAAAATTTTGATTTCGTTCGACTTTCTAATGGTTAGTGGGGTCAAACTGGAGTTCTTTTTTGAACAATATATCTTGCTAATGTACTGTGATACATCTAGGTATTTAAGTGCCATCAGCACCAGATCTTGGTGATGGCCTTAGTAGAGTCTCCTAGGCATAGGAAAAACCACTGTCATCCTCAAATAATTTATTAATTTAACAGATGTATATTCATATAAAGTATTGTGGACATAAGACAAAATGGTGTTTAATGTTGGTCATACATTTACCAATTCAGTTGAAAATGAAGGCACAGTCGCACCATCCCAAGGCTTTCCTCTCAGCTGATTTTCTCATTAATATTTTGGCTTGGTTCTGGGAGCTTGGTGATGCAAGCCACCCAGAGAACCCACACCCTGAACATTTAGAACCATGAAGAATTGGTAGCAAAACCACACTGATGTTCATTTTTGGTTTCCAGAATACTTTATAATGCTTTAGGGTTTAGTTCCTTTTATCAACCATCAGTGCCATAAAGACACTAGGAATTTACACTTGACCTTACTAAGACATCTGTCTGTCCTTGAAATGAGGCGAATAAGCAGTACGCATGCAGTCAACAATTCCTCCCTTAGTAAAGGGAGAATTGGGTCCATTTGTGCAGAGAAATCTTGGTGAGCAATAGTGAGCTCCTCTTAAAGGAAAAATCTTTATTGGTCAAAAAGAATGCCCCACATGCATTCTGAAAGCAAGCAGGAGGGAAGAGGAGAAGCGTTAAGCTGCTGCAAAGAGAGCCATACAGGGGATCTGTTCCAGTAATTACCCCTTCCCTCGCTATACCAATCACCCTCCCTGCCCACAACTGATTCACCCAGCTGCCATGGCCCCCCTGCTGTCCTGGGCTCCTTACTGGAGGACTAGTGATACCCCCTTAAACACTGCCCTGCCCACATGGCCCATTTATGACCTGAATCTGGCTGTGTATGGCTACCATAAGATAACCAATATCACTTTTGTTAGTGTTTTTTTAATTTGTTTTTTTTTTTTTTTAAAGCTTTATTCCATACAAATGACAAGCTTACTGGGTTGGCCTTCTCATGACAGCTCCTGCAACTTATCTTTTACAATGATATAATGGTGCTTCCTTGTCTCCTGAGCCCATGTCTTAATTGGTTTGCACTTACATAGGCTTCTGACCCCTACAATATACAGTCTGTTTAAATCTTTTCCACATTGCTATGGTGAGTCACCAGCAGCTTCTATTTATTTTTTTTTTTTACAGTACGTGCCATGTTGCAGGTAAACTTGCTGCGCTCCAGTTTGGTGTGCAAATCAGAGCATCAAACAAGTAGCTTTGAGATATTTACAATTGCCTTTAACTACCCCAACAGTATGGATGTTATTGCCTATAGCAAAAGTTTATGCTCTAGCTGATGTATTTGATCATAATAGATAAATAGATATTTGATTGGTTGCTGTTAACAGCATTTCCACTTTTCCTTTCTTCTGTTTTTTCCCACAAGTCCAATGAACTTTATTGATCAAATACTCATAAACCAACCAGTCGGTTTTAAGTTGTGAGTCTTTTGCTGCAGACTAAAAAAAATGTAAGGATGGATCTGATTGGTTGGAATCAATTAACATAGGATTTGTTTCTATCAAACCTTCTGACAAATGATTTTTGTCCTCAAATCTTTCGACTGCACCAAGCATCTCAGCCCAACCTCCCCCGAGGAAGTAACAATCAATTGTAGTAGATATTTTTGAATAACTACTTTTCCTGAAAGTAGACTTTCTCTCCTCTCACCTGTGCTAGCATAAAATTTAGTTGAGCTCATTTAGTTGAGCGAGCATTTAAATCCTACAAATCACAAAAATAATGCCTACACTTCTGATGTCCATGGTTCTTCATTCTCATTTCTGGAGATCTAGGACCCACGGCAGTCTTCTCCTCATCTTGTAGATGGGCAAAAGAAAGAAAGAGTTAAGTTTCTTTTCTCTACAGGAGAATGAATAATTGGTGCCTGTCCTACAATACCAGACAATTCCCAATATCAGAAGTGCTTCTTTATCCCCTGATTAAACATCTGCAAAGCCTAATAATCTCCCTACATGTCCTGCAATCCTTGTATGTCCACAAAAGCATACAAACTAGAGCTACAAATAGGTGAAAGTTATTATAGTAATATTTTAATTATATTTTAGGCAATTTTTATACCTTCACTTTTTGTTTTTTGCCCCCTTCCCCAGCTCGTGTTATAGACTTGTCTAAAGGTAATATTGACTTGGCAGAGAAATGTTTGGAAGAAACAGGAGGCCTGGGAGTTGACATTGTTCTTGATGCTGGAGGTTGGTTTTGGACTTTAATAGTAATTTTTTGTGTGTTTTATTTTTACTAAAAATTGCATGTGAATACGTATTTACCACTTGCAGGCAACAGGTGTGGAACTGCAAGCATTAGAGTAATTTTGTAGCTCAAAACACTGCACTTTTGAAAAAGAAAGCTGAATAGGAGAGATTAGATTACACACACTAGAGAATGGCGCTAAGGAAGTTTGTTCATGGGCAGGGCCGCATCCACCATTGCCTCCCAGGAAGACACCGTAGGAGGAGTAGAAGAGGGACCACCGAAGGAGGATTTTTTTCTTGGCATAGAAAAGTAAAAAAGAAATCAGCAATTTGGCGCTAAGGCTCAGTGCACATTCTGCCGAATATTGCCCGTTTTCTGTTTGCTAGTGTGTACAGCAGCCTGTTCAACAGAACCCAGTCTAATGACCAGCTTTTGTTGAAGGGACATACTGAAAAACCAGCATCATAGAATATATCCGACACACGACCCTATGGGGTTTATTTACTAAAGCTGGAGAGTGCAAAATCAGACTCACTTCTGCAAGAAACCAATCCGCTTCCAGGTTTCATTGCCAAAGCTTCATTGAAGAAGCTGAGGTTAGAAGCTGATTGGTTTCTATGCAGAAGGGAGTCTGATTTTGGACTCTCCAGCTTTAGTAAATAAACCCCTATGTGACCTCGCTGTCCAGTCCTTTTGGGGTCCTATCTTCACGTGTTTTGTGATTGTCGTAGACTGGCTAATTTCTGGATGGGTGTTTTTTATTTACTAAATCTCAGGTTGGAGCTGTCCCTTCCTGTTTCCCCTGAGCTGGGGATTCAGGATGATGAGCAGCATTCCCATCATACCAAATTGCTGATTTCTTTTTTACTTTTCTATGCCAAGAAAAAAATCCTCCTTCGGTGGTCCCCCCTCTACTCCTCCTACGGTGTCTTCCTGGGAAGCAATGGTGGATGCGGCCCTGCCCATGAACAAACTTACTTATATCAGAATAGAGGTTGCCCTTGGAAATATGATAAAGTGTGGTCCCCTTGGACTTCAAAATAGTGTTCCTTTCTCTGCCTCATCTCCCCCTTTCCTTTTTTCTTCTCCCCTATTCTCCCCCTTGATTTCATCACTGGTTCTACTCTCCTTATTCTTCCTGCTACCTCCCTTTATCTTTCCTTTGGATAAATATCCCCCTATGAGCCTCCGATGCCTTCTCAAGGTTTAACTCAGGGACCTTTGACTGAGTGGTAACTTAATACACACTGTTCTTTACATGTCTACTTACTGTTCTGTTGAACTGTATAATTGTACTTTATTAGATTAATGTATTTGGTCTATATGCATGGCATTGTATTTTGTACATGAGTTTATATTGCTCTGTAATACTCTTCAATAAAGCACTCCTGATTTGTAAAAAAAAAAAAAAAAAAAAAGTAAAATGTATTATATAAATATTAAAAGACAACTATATAGAACTTTTTTTTTTTTTTAAATAAAATTTGCCAAAACATATTTAAATATTAATGCTGGATAAATACGAGGGGCATTCAAGTCAAACCAGGACTTTTATTTTAAAGGTATTAAAAGGGATGCTAGCATGGCGGTACTACAAGTAGTAGTAAGTGGCAAGTGTGTCCTATTACTGATGGTGTCACACATGTCGGGGGCCAGTCCAGAGACTGTTAATCAAGATGGCAGACAACAGTGTTAGTCCGTGCATGGAACAACATGTGGTGATGTTTGTTGTGAACAAAGGCATAAAACCCTGTGGATATCTGCAGAAGCTTTCAAGCACATTACAGTGATGAGACGCTTAGCCGCAGTAGGACATTTCAATGGTGTAAATGTTTCAAAGATGGCCGTACCTCCGTCAGTGACGATCTTGGCCATGGTGGTTCCCAGGATTTTCTACCCTGTGGTGCCACTATCAACAGTGAATATTACTGTCATGTTCAGGCTGGTTTGATCACTAAGGGCGTCCTGTTTCTCCAGGACAACGCACAAGTTTATACTGCTCACCGCACTACCTGCACATTACAGCAACTCGACTGGAAGGTATTGCCACATCCCCCTTACAGCCCAGACCTCGCTCTAAGTAATTTCCACCTGTTTGGACCCCTAAAAGAGTTTCTCAGAGGTCAGCATTTCAGCACTGATAATAAAGTGAAACCGTCTGTGCTAGGAATGGTTCAGATGTACTGACAAATCTTTCCTTACAAACAATTTCATGGCATTCGTTTTAAACGCTGGGATAAGTGTATAAATGTAGCAGGGGAGTATGTAGAAAAATTAATGCATTTTCCACTCCTTGAAATTTGTTCTTTTATTATATAAACTCAAAAGTCCCAATTTGACTTGAACTCCCTTGGTACATATTGAATTTACTGCCAGAAATTGCAGTGGCAACAGTATCATGCAGCATGTGAATGATGATCTGTTTCTTGTTCTCAGTGATTCTTTACAATACAGATGACCACGTTACAAAACCAAAACTTCAGCCTCACAAACATGACATCATCACACTTCTTTCTGTCGGAGGACACTGGGTAACAAGAGAACACAACCTGCAGGTACCCATATACTAGACCAAATACTAATGGCCTTGTAACTATCATTATTCAATTGAGGATTAGGTTAAAACAAGTGCCAAATAGGAGCTTTGTGAATTTAGCTTTATGGGTGCTACAGGATTGTGTGTCCATCGTCTATAAATCACCTACTTCTCCCATTGCAGATATTGTATGTTGACAGCCAGCCCTGCCTCCTCTCGTAATACCCAAACAGCAGCTGCATGTAACTTGATGCAGCTGCTGTTCAACCGAAAACTTTCCAGCAGGCTACTTCGATAAAAGTTGATTGAACAATCACATGAAACTGAATGAATTCATATTCCAGCATCAAAAAAAAATAAAAAAATTATATATATATATATATCAATGCAATTATGTTGCTGCTGCAAACATGTCTTCTTTTAGCGCTGTGATACAAAATAATAAACGTGCAGTCCACCAATCATAAAAAAATATTGTACACCTTCACCGGTTGTGCTCTCACTTGGTGTATATGACCAGACCGTTAATGAGGTCATAAAAAGCTTCTGTCCCTTTAATTGGACTTCTTGGTAAATGGATAGGATTATCCCTCTTTCCTTGGGATGGATGGACGGAGTGTTTCCCTCTTCCCAGCAGGGGATCGCCTTGCTTTCTTATGGATTTTCCTGGAGTCGGATGGATGGATGGAAATATCCCTCTTCCCCTCATAGGTATAATAGCTATGAAATGTAATCATGAAATATAGTGCCTTATCCTCTTTAAAATTAATGTATTCAATAAAGTAGTGCACTCACATGTATTTCAAGTTAAAAATGCATGAAAATGTTGAAATGTGGATTTACAATGTATTTTTGAAAAAAAAAAAAATATATATTTTATTTAGATGATGGAATATTATTTATTTAATATTTATTCACATCTTTATTATCGCAATTGGTAGTGGAGCGCGACACTATTTTAGATTTTATTCTCTGACACAATGGTATGAGTATGTGTAGAGTGTAAGCAAACCACATGTTTTCACAATTTTTACACAATTTTCGCTATTGTATTTGGTTTTACACCATTTTTAGCATCATTTATAATATTTAATTATTTATTAACACTCTGTATACTCCGTAGTAGCGCACACAAGACCCCACACTTTAGTAGACATTTGGTTCTGTTGTGGGCTGCTGAGTGGCAGTGTCACATAGCCTGGGCATTGAAAAGAGTTTTTCAGAACAAAGGTTTTATTTATTTTGGCTGCATAGTACCATTCAGTGCTTTTTTTTTTTTTTTTTTTTTTTTTTTTTTTTAACTGCACTTCTCCCTTAATTAGCAGAACATCATCACTATTTTATAAATCTTTACTTATACAGTATGCATGTTCATTTATTCATTTAATGTGTATGTGTTTACATGAGGTAAAAAGGCATTTCTTTTTTCAATGATCTTTTGTATTGCAGCTGGACCCACCAGACAGCCACAATCTGTTCCTGAAGGGGGCATCACTTTCCTTTCTCAATGATGAGATCTGGAACCTGTCCAATGCACAGCAAGGAAAATATCTGCATATCCTTTTCTGATCTGCAGTAATTCATAATAATGAATATTTGCTGGCCAGCCTCCTCTGGACTTTTTGATGGTGATTGATGTTTGGCTTTAAAGGATACATTCACCTTTTGACCAAAAATAATAAATGCACTTTTTTTTTGCAGGTAAATAAAAATGTGCATTTATTATTGTTGGTTGCAGGAGCCTGTAAAGCATTGCACCAGCGATCAGCAGATTGCTGGTGCCATGTAGGTCTCCTGCAGACCTGTCAGTATATCTGCTTGCCCGTACATCCTGTAGATATACTGACAGGAAGACTCCATGATCTACCACAGCGATGTGGTAGTTGATTGAGAACTACAAGCCAACAGCTGCTAAGGCTTTCGGGATTTGTAGTTTATTCATTCACAGTGTTCTGTGAATGAATGACGCGGCCGTGTGGGGGGAGCCACGCACGGCTGCACTGTTGTTAAAAAGTGACAGCTTGTACGGTGAACTTCTCCCCGTACTTCTGTCACAGGGAGAGTGGGGGGGGGGGGGGCAGCAGGCAGTGGCTTCAGCTATGGGAACAATTCACGTGCTCCACCATAAAAATTGGTGGAACATGTAACATGTTCCCAAAAGTTAACTTCTCCTTTAATCAGAGGTGTTGAGCTGTAATTAGCACTGTATACGTGCATGGTTTTCTCAAGTGGCTTTCTTGATGGTTCCACCTCCATTCACAGTGGTTATCGTCATTACAAATATAAAGAGGTTTGTAAAGTTGGGTCTCCTGGACTCTAAATGTTTGTTTGCAAGTTTTTTATTTTTAAGCTATAGGGAAAATCCACTGCTACAATAGGACTTTTGTTGCATTAAAGTGGTTGTAAACCTCAGATATGAAATCTGAACAAAGCATATCTGTCTATAGTGTGTACTTGTCTCAATCCAGAGCACTAAGCATCATTTCTCTCTGCTGCCTTGTTCCTCTGCTATCTGCATGAGTCACTTCTGACAAGTTTTCCTGACACCGAGGGAAAAAAGGGGAGAGGGATCTCCAGCACACAGCCTTTGACAGCCTCAGCTATGTTCCTGTGTGCTGTGTGAAGGGGGGGGGGGGGGGTGTGTTTCTTCCCTCCAATCAGCTCTCAGACCTGTCCTCACTAAGCTCTACAATGTGTGATTTCTGCTCTCCACCCCGTTTTCTGACATCTCAGACAAAATTTATAAATTCTTGACTTTGAACGGATGTGGAGAAGACTGCTAAATAGGTACAACGTGTGTGGGAAGATTTGTTTCATCTACTGTATGTGTATATCTGAGGGCAGTCACTTCACTTAGTATATGTAAGGGTTTACAACCACTTTAAGGCTGAACTCCGGGATAAGCAAATATCGTCTAAATACATTTGTCATGTGTATTCTTCCTTGAATCTTGGTGTGATTTTGTGTATTTCTTTCAGATCTGTGCAGTAATCCAGTGTGAGGCTAGGTTCACACTTCTGTGGGTGTGTGACTGTGGGGGAGATTTACTAAAGCTGGAGCACTCAGAATCTGGTGCAGCTGTGCCTGGTAGCCAATCCGCTTCTAACTTCAACTTGTTCAATTAAGCTTTGGCAATAAAACCTGGAAGTTGATTGGTTTCTATGCAGAGCTGCACCAGATTTTGCACTCTCCAGTTTTAGTAAATAACCCCCTGTGTGTAATTACATGCTTCCCTGCACCCACAGCAAAAACGGGCAGCTGTTAGTAGACGCACAAGGGTGCCATTAACCACTTGCCACCCTGCCACTGTAGAAATACAGCGGCAGGGCAGCACTGGCAGGCAAAACCACGTTTTTAAAACATGTGTTTTGTAAAAAGGGGGCGCGCGATCACCGCCGCGGATGTCAGTCACCGGGTCACAGCCGATCCTTAGCGGCGGTTTCCCGGCGATCGGCGGTAAACAGTGACACGGAGCACAGCTGCAGTAGCTGTGCTGTCTGTCACTTCCTTGTCCGCTCGAGGATGAGCTGATCGAGACAGAAGAGTTTCTCTCTCTCGATCAGCCTTGTCCCGTGCAGCACACCCCCCCCCGCCCCCTAGTAAAAACACTCCCCTCACTCCTATAACCCTTCCCTGCAAAATAAAGTTAACCCCTTCCTCCCCAGTGCCATTAGTACAGTGTCAGTGTTTTTCTTTTTGCACTGATCACTGTATTCGTGTTTTTGGGGATGTCAGTGACCCCAAGTCAGTACCCCCCAATGTCAGAATGTCCCGCCCAGTCCCGCCATAAGTTGCTGGTCGCTGCCATAAGTCACTGATCGCCGCCTTAATTCACTGATCGCCGCCATTATTAGTATAAAAAAAAACCCTAAAAATCCCAGTATCTTTCCCGCCATTTGTAAACGCTATAACTTTCACGTAAACCAATTAATTTACACGTGTTGGGTTTTTTTTTAGCAAAGACATGTCGCAGAATGCATTTTGGCAAAAATTTATGACTAAATTTGATTTTTGCATTTTTTTTTTTTTACTGGACATGTTTTATAGCAAAAAGTCCAAAATATTGTTTTTTTTTTTTTCCTCAAAATTGTTAGCCTTTTTTTTTTTTTTTTTTTTTTTTTTTTTTTTGAGCGCAAAAAAAAAAAAAACCGCACAGGCGATCAAATACCACCAAAAGAAAGCTCAATTTATGGGGAAAAAAAAGGATGTAAATTTCATTTATGTACCATATTGCATGATCGCGCAATTGTCCGTTAAACTAGCGCAGCGCTGTATAGCAGAAAAATGGCGTAAGTTGCAGTATTTATACCATAGTTTGTAGACGCTATAACTTCCACACAAAGCAATCAATATACACTTATTGGGATTTTTTTTTTACCAAAAACATGGAGCAGAATATATTTTGGCCTAAATGTATAACCAACTTTGAGTTTACTATATATTTTTTATAGCTGAAAGTAAAAAATATTGTTTTTCTTCAAAATTTTTTGGCCTTTTTTTTGTTTATAGCGTGAAAAATAAAAAGCGCACAGATGATCAAATACCACCGAAAGAAAGCTCTATTTGTGTGAAAAAAAGGACGTAAATTTCGTTTGGGTGCAGCATTGCATGACTGCGCAATTATCAGTTGAATTAGTGCAGCGCCGAGTAGCAAAAAGAGGCCTGGTCATTAGGGGGGTAAATCCTCTGGAGCTCAAGTGGTTAATTCCACGCACAGGATAGAGCAGTGCGTTTTGTGCGGTGAACCACATAGCACTATGCAGTTTCCCTGCGACTGATTTTGAAAAAGGTATGGGGGCCTTTTCCCTTGTTTTCAATAGGTGCAGCAGCCCATATAAGTGAAACTGATGGACAGAAATACAAATTCTTTAAACATCCTATACAGTATTTGTATTTCAGCTGTGTATTGAGCTGTTGGCCTGGAGTTCAACTTTAAAGAATACACCCTTAACTTTTTTTTCTCACATATCCTGAAAGATGTGGTGGACAAACTGTCATGTGGAATATTCAGGTAAGTCATTATAGTAACAACAGACATAAAAACATATTGCCAAGATGCAATCATAAGTGTATGACATTTCATCTTGGACGGCTGCAGTTGGGAGCAGCAGAGACCTCCTTCTTATGTACTGCAAGTCAATGAATAGGAAGTAGATTGCCATTCATGAAACTGAACCTTGTGTCCTTGTGTTCCTTCATCAGGCCTCAGTTGGATGAGCTGGTTCCATTGTATGAAGCTAAAGTGGTAATGGAGATGGTGCAGAAGAATGAAGTGAAGAAGCGGCAAGTCGTCCAGTTATGAGGCAGTAAAGATCATACAATGAATGACTACTGGCACAGTTCAGCTTTATGTCTCCTGAATGGCCTTTTGAATCTCTGTCATAGATTGCACGGCCTAGGAAATGGAACCCTAAACAGGGTGTTGGAGTTTGATTATGAAGCCCCACAATCTGAGATGCAAACTACTATTGTCCGGTGTTTATCAAGTAAAGTTGTACTGGCCCTCAAAGTCTCGGAATGTCACTGTCTGAGCTTCCATCCTAAAATGACAGATACTTCTGGTGAGAGTTCACTCTCGTGTGGATGTTCCATAGATAGATGGACTCATAATTGCATTTCTGTGTGGGAGTAAAAAAGGACACTGAAGATCAGAGTTGAGTAAAGCAGTGTTGAGTCAATGTTGACAAATCTAAGGAATTTTGGGAGCTAATGTAGAAGTCTGTGGCTGCAATAGGTCAGTAGTTTAATGCTTTGGTGGGAGGGTGCGGCCATTCCGATAGATATGCTGCATAGCTAGTGTAATGTATATGGATCACTCACCAGTCAGGACTGGGCTTCTGTGGATTGTGCAATCTTACTGAGAGATGTACTGTATGTTTCAATAAATGAGTTTTCTATCATTCCCCCACCCCCTTATTACAAACTGTAATTCCATGTTTTGTTTTGTTTTTTAAGTTAAGCAAGTACATTTATTTTCGGTGGTGATGCCTCCCACTTCCTCATTTCACCCAACTACCCCTCTGTCCACCCCAGTGCTTTCTCTGTCTGCCCAGCTACCCCCTTGTCCACACTATTGCCCTCTTGTCCCACTTATCTACACCCTGTACCCCTTGACCATCCAACTACTACTCCTTCCAGCCCACAACCCCCATCCACCCAACTAGCCCCGGTCCAACCCACTGCCTCCCTGTCCACTCTACTACCCCCCTGTCCACCTAACTTACCCCGCTACCACTGACCACCTGACTAACCCTTTGTCCATCGGACTACCCCCTGTCCAACCAACTGCCTCCCTGTCCCACCACTGCCTTCCTGTTCCACTGCTGAGTACCAGGGCCCTTTATCCTACCACTAAGCACCAGTGCCACCTACAGTCAGGTCCATAAATATTGGGACATCAACACAATTCTAACATTTTTGGCTCTATACACCACCACAATGGATTTGAAATGAAACTAACTGGAAAATGAAATGAAAATGAAACTGTCAGCTTTAATTTGAGGGTATTTACATCCAAATCAGGTGAATGGTGTAGGAATTACAACAGTTTGCATATGTGCCTCCCACTTGTTAAGGGACCAAAAGTAATGGGACAATTGGCTTCTCAACTGTTCCATGGCCAGATGTGTGTTATTCCCTCATTATCCCAATTACAATGAGCAGATAAAAGGTCCAGAGTTCATTTCAAGTGTGCTATTTGCATTTGGAATCTGTTGCTGTCAACTCTCAAGATGTGATCCAAAGAGCTGTCACTATCAGTGAAGCACGCAATCATTAGGCTGAAAAGGCAAAACAAACCCATCAGAGAGCAAAAACATTAGGCGTGGCCAAAACAACTGTTTGGAACATTCTTAACAAGAAGGAACGCACCGGTGAGCTCAGCAACACCAAAAGACTCGGAAGACCACGGAAAACAACTGTGGTGGATGACCGAAGACTTCTTTTCCTGGTGAAGAAAACACCCTTCACAACAGTTGGCCAGATCAAGAACACTCTCCAGGAGGTAGATGTATGTGTGTCAAAGTCAACAATCAAGAGAAGACTTCACCAGAGTGAATACAGAGGGTTCACCACAAGATGTAAACCATTGGTGAGCCTCAAAAACAGGAAGGCCAGATTAGAGTTTGCCAAATGACATCTAAAAAAGCCTTCACAGTTCTGGAACAACATCGTTTGGACAGATGAGACCAAGATCAACTTGTACCAGAGTGATGGGAAGAGAAGAGTATGGAGAAGGAAAGGAACTGCTCATGATCCTAAGCATACCACCTCATCAGTGAAGCATGGTGGTGGTAGTGTCATGGAGTGGGCATGTATGGCTGCCAATGGAACTGGTTCTCTTGTATTTATTGATGATGTGACTGCTGACAAAAGCAGCAGGATGAATTCTGAAGTGTTTTGGGCAATATATCTGCTCATATTCAGCCAAATGCTTCAGAACTCATTGGACGCCGCTTAACAGTGCAGATGGACAATGACCCAAAGCATACTGCAAAAGCAACCAAAGAGTTTTTTAAGGGAAAGAAGTGGAATGTTATGCAATGGCCAAGTCAATCACCTGACCTGAATCCAATTGAGCATGCATTTCACTTGCTGAAGACAAAACTGAAGGGAAAATGCCACAAGAACAAGCAGGAACTGAAGACAGTTGCAGTAGAGGCCTGGCAGAGCATCACCAGGGATAAAACCCAGCGTCTGGTGATGTCTATGCGTTCCAGACTTCAGGCTGTAATTGACTGCAAAGGATTTGCAACCAAGTATTAAAAAGGAAAGTTTGATTTATGATTATTATTCTGTCCCATTACTTTTGGTCCCTTAACAAGTGGGAGGCACATATGCAAACTGTTGTAATTCCTACACCATTCGCCTGATTAAAGCTGACAGTCTGCAGTTAAAGCACATCTTGTTTGTTACATTTCAAATCCATTGTGGTGGTGTATAGAGCCAAAATGTTAGAATTGTGTCGATGTCCCAATATTTATGGACCTGACTGTATCTCTCCCTTCTGCTCCTCCCTTGTTCTTTGCTGAGCACCAATCTTCCCTCTTTTTCTACTAAGCATCAATATCCCACAATTTGCCCCAAAGAACACCAGTCATTTATTTCCACTGATGACAACAGCAGGCAATTTTTCCCCCCACTCACAGCACAAATTTTTTCCCCCACTGACCACAGATGGCGTGCAAGTTTTTCCCCTCATTGACCACTAAAGCTGAACATTTTCATCCCACTGCCAACAGACCTGAAGCATTTGTTCCCCAACAAACAGTATATGGGGCACCATAACACATGACCATTGGACCCTGTATATTGTGTTGTACACTACAATAGTGCTGACCACTGTACATTACATTCTCATGACCAAAGTGTTTATTGCCTCAACAGTTGCTGGGTGCAGTCTCTGACTATTGTAATGATGGTCTTCTTTAAGATCAGCTCAGACAAGGTTTAGCACTCTACCTATATTCTGTTTTATTTTTTCAAAATGGCTGTTTAGATTTTGTGAGATCCACTATTGTGGAACATGAATTGAGGAGTGTGCTATAGGTACAAGAATGGTGTGTATTGGTTTTGTAAATATTTACAACTTTTCTCTACGTGATTCAGGACTCACTGCAGTGTAATGCTGCCTGAAGCCTCATGCTGTCTGGGCGTTTAGCCTCTGAGCCCGAAGATCCAGTTTTTTTTGTGCAGGCTGAAGGCAAGGCCCAGTGCCAAGGCAGCCTGTGAACAATTATGAGGGGTTGACAGCTGCTGGGACTGGACAGTGTTGGAAAGCTTGTAGGAAGGAAAGGAGGAGTAGCTGGCTTTCAACTGTTGCATGGAGAGCCATATAGGAGATCACTTTCAGTAACTGTCCTCCATCCCTGCCACACTGGTAACCCCCTCCTGTCCATGACTGGATTTCCTCTGCTGCCCTGGCCCCTCTGCTGTACTGATGGGACCTGGGTCCCATACTGGAATCCAGGCTGTACCCCCTTATCCACGCCCTGGGTCAAGGTGAACCGTAATAGGCGGCTCTTAACAACATCCTAGGAATTTTCCAGTCAGGCTTCATGCGATATGTACAGTTGCAAGAAAAAGTATGTGAACCCCTTGGGATTACGTGGAGTTTTGCATGCATTGGGCATAAAATGTGCTCTGAACGTCATCTAAGTCACAACAATAGAAGAACATGGTCTGCTGAACATAATACTACACAAACATTAGATGTTGCCATGGTTTAATTGCACATAACATGTAAACATTCACAGTGCAGGGAGGAAAAAGTATGTGAACCTTTGGACTTAATAACTGGTTGACCCTCCTTTGGCAGCAATAACCTCAACCAAACGTTTCCTGTAGTTGCAGATCAGACCTGCACAACGATCTGGAGTAATTTTGGACCACTCCTCTTCACAAAACTGTTTCAGTGTAGCAATATTCTTGGGATGTCTGGTGTGAATCGCTCTTAAGGTCATGCCACAGCATTTCAATCGGGTTGAGGTCAGGACTCTGACTGGGCCACTCCAGAAGGAGTATTCTGTGCTGTTGCAGCCATTGTTTTGTTGGATTACTTGTATGCTTTGGGTCATTGTCCTGTTTGCATCACCCATCCTCTGCGGAGCTTCAGTCGGCGGAACTGATGGTCGTACGTTTTCCTGCAAAATGTCTTGATAAACTCTGGAATTCATTTTCCCATCAATGACAACAATCCGTCCAGGCCCTGAGGCAGCAAAGCAGCCCCAAACCATGATGCTCCCTCCGCCATGTTTTACAGTGGGGATGAGGTTTTGATGTTGGTGCGCTGTGCCTTTTTTTCTCCACACATAGTGTTGTGTGTTCTTCCCAAACAACTCAATCTTGGTTTCATCTGTCCACAGTATATTTTGCCAGTAGTGCTGTGGAACATCCAGGTGCTCTTTTGCAAACTTCAAACGTGCTGCAATATTCTTTTTGGACAGCAATGGCTTCCTCCGTGGTGTCCTCCCATGTACTCCATTCTTGTTTAATGTTTTCCTTATTGTAGATGTGTCAACAAAAATGTTAACATGTGCCAGAGATTTCTGTAGGTCTTTAGCTGACACTCTGGGATTCTTCTTTACCTCATGCAGCATTCTGCACTGTGCTCTTGCAGTCATTTTTACAGGACGACCACGCCTAGGGAGAGTAGCAACAGTGCTAAACTTTCTCCATTTGTAGACAGTCTGTCTTACCGTGGACATATGAACATCAAGGCTTTTGGAGATACTTTTGTAACCCTTTCCAGCTTCATGTAAGTCAACAATTCTTGATCGTAGGTCTTCTGAGAGCTCTTTTCTG